GAGGCTGTACATACTCACTGAGCAAGAGGCTTTATACCGGGGGAGAGACAGATTCAGAATTCCTGCCAAGGCCCATTTGATTTCATGAGTCATTGTTTAATCTATGCTGTTTTTAATCTAAGAAATACATGCTGACAGAGAGTAAATCATACATTGCTAAACCTGGCACAGTGGCGCACACCTTTAATCCCAGGCAGGTAGATCTTGAGTTCAAGGCCAGCCTGGTCTAAGGGAGAGTTCCAGGAAATCCAAGGCTACATATAGAGACCCTGTCTCAACAAATAACAATCAATGCTTCTGCCACTCAAACACACCTATCTCCGTCCCACGGCAAGGTATTATCCAACAATATGATAACCACCAACTGGGGCAAATGCTCACTTAAAATAGGATTTGAAACCAATAGAGAAGGAATATGCAGGGCTATGAAGACATTTATTGAAGACATATTGACACATACATACCATGTTAACATGTTTGGTTTGAGACTGTGTATCTATGCTGATGGGCCTGGAATGCCGAGATCCGCATCCTGCTGAGGGCTGGGATTAAGGCATGTGCCATTACATCCAGCAGTTCTTAAAAATTCTATGTTTTTAAGATTGAAAGTATATATTAAACATGTTAGGCCAGATATAGTAGCACACGCCTTTTATCCCAGCACTTGGGAGGCAGAGGCAAATCAACCTCTGTGAATTCAAGGTCAGCTTGGTCTATACAGTAATTTCCAGACCAATCGGGGTTATACAGTATGATAATGTTAAAAAACAAACAAACAAAAAAACCAACTAAGCATGGCAGTGGTGGCACATGTCTTTAATCCCAGCATTCAGGAGGCAGAGGCAGGTAGATCTTTGTGAGTTTAAAGCCAGCCTGTTCTACAAGAGCTAGTTCCAGGACTAGAACTAGCTAGGACTGAGAAACCTGCCTCAAAAAGCCAAAACCAAACCAAACAAAAACAACAAAAAACAAAGATCCTTAAGACGCTCATATTTAAGAACAAGATGGGAAGTGTGACAGAGGTCAACAGCCTTTGCTGGTGACCTGAGTTAGATTCCTCCTGGACGCAGCCACCTGCCTTGGTGTTCCCCAGCCCAGCTATCCTAAGCAACAGAAGACAAGAGTACCGACCTGTGCAGTAGTCAAAATAATAACAGACTATCTCAAAAACAATATGGAAGAAGAAAGCCTGGCCCTTGGAAGCTGTCATCTAGCCCTTACACACACCCCTCCCTCACACAAAAAAAGGGGAAAAATGAAAATTAAAGAAACAGTGTTTGGATACTTGCCATCCTGTCTTTCCTAAGAGTGTGAACCCCTGCACTCTGTGCCTGGGACTAACTATGGCCACAAGTGGCCATCGTGAGCACGGCCTTCTAGGCAATGACATGTAGTATTGGAAGCTCCCAACAAGTTTTCTTACAAGACTGCAAGCTGATGCCTTCCCCTCTCCTTCCAGGCCTTCCTTCTGCCAGGAGGAACTAGGCTGTGGTAACTAAAGCTTCCCCCTTGGGCTATAAGGGCCTTACAGTATGAATGGTAGAGCCAATAAATGGAAACGGTCTTCCCAGAAAACAATAGAGCCATCATATACCTCTTGCTTGTCCATCCATAACTGTGTGTGTGTGTGTGTGTGTGAGCTTGTCTCATCCATGACCGCCCCTCCCCCCCATACACGACTGGATCAGAATTTACTATGTAGCCCAGGCCGCCTTGGATTTGTGGTAATCCTCCGGTGTTACTGTCCCAAATATTAGCATTACAAGCATTATCACCTTGCCTAGCTGTCGATTAACTCTTGTACTAACTGAGAAAGGGAAGCAAGCATCACTTTGTTTAGGTCATTGCTCTGTAATTGCTGACTGGGAGCTAATCTTAACTAAGCCAGCAACTCATCCAAAGTGACGGCAAAGGTCAGATGCAAGTCCTCCGGCATGCACGCTTCATGCTCTCAGGCAAAGTTTGAAGACTGCTGATTTGAAGTTTTCAGGAGATTTTGTGTGTGGTAAGGGAATGTTGCAAAAAGCTGAAAAAGGTTTGAAGAAAGATAATAAGGGAAGGCTCAGACGTGCTCTTAATCCCGCACACTCAGAATTAAGGAAAATGACAAAATGAAGTGTAACAGCAAAGACCTGGGTCTCCACCAGAGAGGGGCAAAGCAAAGTCTCAGTCTTTTACCACAGTACTTAGGAGGCTGGGGTGCTGGAAACAACAAAAACAACCGAGCACGGGCAGCTCCTGGGTTTGATGGAGGCCCTGTGGGAAAGGTGGGTCAGACAGACAGGTAGGCAGGAAAGAACTGTAAAGTGGTCTGAATTCAAAGAAGCAACAGAAGTAGTTCAAATAGTCTGGAAAGGGACAAGGAGAGTCACGTGACCCACATCAAAGGCCGCCTGAAGGTCAGCAAGCCAAAGGAAAAGGTCAAGGTTGAAGCTGGGCGCCCGTGCCCATTCCCTTTACTCTTTCCCAAGAGCACTGAAGGAGCAAACTTAACTGTTGCAAGTGAGAGCAGAACTCTAAAGAAAGGGAAATCTCACAAGAGAAAGTTCACTATCACCTGATTTCTAAACGACTTCATGTCCGGTAAAAGAACTGTTTTGCAGAGAAAAGGAAATCAGTGGAGGTGTGAGGGGAGCTGAGGCCGGGGTGACAGCCCAGCAGACAAACACAGCTTCAGAGCCGCTGATGCCAGAGTTCAGTCCCTGAGACTCACACACAGGTAGAAGGCAGGTTGTCCTCTGACCTCCACATGTGTGTTGTAGCATGCAAGAGCCGGTACACACGCTTCATGCACATGTCACACATGCATCACATGCACCACACATGCACAAGTCTATTTTTTTTTTTAAGAAAATGCAGTTGAAACGTGTAAGTCGAAAGTAGCCAACAGCAGTAAGTATGCAAATAAACAGTCACGACATGGATTGGGAGAAAATCCACAACCGTTTTGGTTAATTCTAGACGGCACTGGTGTCTTTTAGGGGGCCACAGAACCCAGTTGTTTGCTGCTACATCGGAGCTCTGGGACTAGGCATCACAGAGAGCATGGTCTGTAACAAGTTGACCAACCAACCACCCACCTGTGTCGAGAAACACAACAGAATCAGAACCCATTCATGTCCAATAACATCCGAGAGCAACACAGGGATGCCGGGAGAGAGAAGAAGAAACTGGAAATTCAGCGAGAGATGCCAAACAAAAATCAGGCATTGGGTTTTGCATGAACGGTTGAAATAAAAATGAACACAATATACTCCTATATGACAATTTCAAGAAACATTTACAAGTTAAAAATTTCTGATGAAAAAAAAAAAACTCTTCCCTTTCAAATTCAGAAAACAAATGGAAAAGAAGCGTCAGGTCACAGAGGGCAAACACCCACCCCACGTGGTCATCTAAAACACTTCAGGTCACCTGGTGTCCTCTGCGAATTTTATTGCTTAGAGCTATGTTTAATTCATGTTGATGTTTTCTCTCCGAGGATTATGAAAATTAAAACAGTAGTGGGGAATTGTGGTGGGGATAACCAGTAGGCTGAAAACAAATCTCAACACGTCAAAGGCAATTGCTCATAGTGTGAACACATGTATCTGAGGCTCATGTTGGAACAACCTTCTGATCAGAAAAAAACCCACTCAGCCTAACTCTGACACAAAGATTACGTCCCCCTCTTGGGAAACCAGGCATAAGGGAAGCGCTGTGAATCAAAGTGTCCTCACAGACAACTCTGCTTCCCCCACGCCCCCACATTTAGCTCCTAGCAGCCTCAGGCATGTTAGGGCTTAAGGTTTTAAATCGCACAGGCCCAGTTACCTGGGGATTAACTGTCATTTCTTAAGCTCTTCAAGAGTGGACCTGCTCACTGGGAAAGCTCGGGGCAAAAGAAAACGACTTTGGCATCCAAGACTCAACATTTTAGGTACTTAGGCGGCAGACTTTATGCATGTGACGGTACTGGAACTGTTATATTGCCCCTTTCCATACATCTTCCAGACCTAGATTTAGGCTTAGGACATAGGTATTAAAATCACTCTCACTGTTTCTGAGGGACACTGACTCCCCCAGCCTCGCCCCTGTTAAGTCCGTTGAGCCACACTCCCAGTCTCTAACTTCTTGGTCTACACTGAACAAATTACCTAAACTGGTCTCACACTTTACAATTTTAAAAAGTTTTACTCATATCTTTATATAGCTGATCCTCCCCCCCCCCCTCCCGTTTCTGGTAGGGTACAATGCACTCAAGGAAACCCACTCATTGGTATTGACTTTTAATTTAGGTTTGTTCTCTGGGATGGGGGGAGCAAGGGGTTCCCAGTGGTGTTTTTTCATGATAACACACTAAAGTCTTCCACAAACATCAGATGACTACAGGCAACCTATGGACTTTGGGAAGTCAGTCGAGGACATGGATTAAAGAGCCTCTTCCCTTCTGACCTGCCAGCACCTGCAGGCCTCCTAGGAGGAGGAACCTCCAAGAGTCTTCCAATGGAAACTAGTTGACCCCTTCGAGCTCAGATACTAAAATCACAGTTGTAGGCCGGTAAATACCCAAGAGCATAAAATGACTGTCGACAGGAGGCGCCAGGGCAGGGGGCAAACGTCGGCGACCCAATGTGGACCCCCTTGAGTGAGCCGTGCTCACCAGCGACGTGACCCCGGGTGAAGGAGGAGGGTCCCCTCCCCGCAGTCCCCAGGACACACACAGGTGCGCGCTCAGCCGTGGGAGCAGCGGAGGCACCGCCTGGGTGCGGCCGCCCCCTCCCCTCGCCCGCAATGACCCCCAGCATCCCGGAGAGGTGGCGCGTGGGGACCGCGCCCTCCCTCTCGCGGGGGCGTGGGAGCCGCGCGGCCGCCGCTCAGCTGACGACTGTGCCACCTGCCCGCTGCGGGACTCCCAAGTGAGGCGCGGCCAGGTAACCGCACCTGCCCCGCGGCCCCCCACCTGCTGCTGCCGCCGCCGCGTCCCCTTCTTCCCCCTGGGCCCCGCGGTCCCCACCTACCTTGGCGCCCAGAGCCCCCCGGGGCCCGCGCTGCCCGGCCGGGGCGCGCCGAGCGGCCGGCGCTCGCACTCGGCCGGCGACTGCGCCTCAGCGGGAAGCCCCGGCGCTGCCCGGCTCGCCGCCCCGGAGCGGCTCCATTGTGACGCGGCGCGCGCAGCCGGCCAATGGGCGAGCGGCGGCGCGAACCGCTGACTAAGTTCCCGGGCGGAGGAGGAGCGGAGCGCGCGGCCGGCGGCGCGAGCGAGCGAGCGGGCGGGCGGGCGGGAGCCGGGGACGCGCAGCGCCGCCTCCGAGCCGCCCCTGTCCGGATCGCTCCGCCGCCGCCGCCGGGCCCGAGTGTCCGCCCGGCCTTGGGACGGACCGCGGGTCCCGGTGACTCACCCTCCTGCTGCAGACAAAGCGCTGCTGCCATCTCCCCGAGCCAGCGCCATGCGGCCGCCCGCCCCGGTACTCTCGCCCAGCCTGGCATCCGCGGTGCATGGCAGCCACACGCGTTGCCAGGAGCAGGGGCTGCATTCCAGAAACCCAGGAACCGGGGTTTAAGGCTGTTCTGCCCGAGCAAAGGACCCCGGCCTTCTCACGTGTGCACCTCTGAGAAACTTGTTACCGACAGAACTTGGGCCCCCGGGAAGGGTGGGGTGCGCAATGCAGGGCCTGCCTTGCTGCTGAAATCTTTTAACGCTCTTTACCCGTGTGACTGGAAACGTTACAGGGCTCCTGAAAGGAAGGTTTCCACTAGTGCCAAACTAAGCTGCTTGAGCTGGCTTCTGGGCCTCCAATCCAACCTTTTCTTTCCAGTGTCCTTATCTTCGGCGTGAGGTGACAATGTGGTAGAGAGACTACACCCAGTAATAGTATTTCATTGTTGATGGCCACCTGCCCCACCCACTTGCTTCTTCTGTTAAGTGGTCCTGCTTTTGAAGAGTAACAAAGTGACTTACAAGTTAAGCAAACATTTAATCCGAATCCAGAAATTTGGGTGATTTTATTATCTTCCTCGAATCCTTGACTCATCTACACCCTCCCTGTTCTTTAAAACAAAAACAAAACAACGCAGTCTTTGTCCAGGCCATTCCTAGCACAACGATTCAATTCAGCAACATTTGTGTCTCTTAGTTGCTATGGTAATCACATCCCTATTTTAACAAAAAGGCGTAACAAAACACTCCCAGGGGGCTAAAATAAAGACAGCACTTAGGTCACCTGATCAGGTGGGCACCAAATACCCTGTACACATTTGAGCTGCCTGAGACTGGGCTGTGTCCCCTAGAGACCCGTCAGATCAGAACCCCAGCCCAAACCGCTGCTCTGTCCTGGCCTTGTCCAGTCTATTCTGGGTGGCAACTGTTTGAGTCTGGAAGTAAAAGTTGGAACTGTGAGGGCTGATGGCTCAGCAGTTAAGAGTAGACAGTGCTTCTGTACAGTACCGGAGTTCTGGTGTGGCTCACAACTGCCTACTACTCCCGTTCCAAGTGATCTGACACCCTCTTCTGGCTCGTGAAGGCAGCCACACACGCGGCACCCACACGCGTGTGACGCGCACCTTGCGGCACACACATGAGGCACACACAAATCTTTTAAAAGTTTCTTTCATTTGAACTCTCAACATATTGTTATTTAATTGTGCGTGTAGCCCTTGTGCACACATCTATGTATGACCCTCAGACGGCTTGCCACCGGGACAAAGATTTTGAGTATCATTTTGAAAAAAAAAAAATAAGTGCTGTAAGTGAACCAGGCTCTAAGATCAGAACATTTCTGTTTGTCTGTTTGTCTGTTTTGGGTCTGCTTTGAACACTCTAATTTTTTTCAAAGTAAACACTTCGGGCCCCGAGATCAGAACATTTTAAGTTGGAAGTTTCTGATTTCACAACCTTGTCTGAATATTTGAGAAGTGATGTTTCCTCTTTCAAGACTGTGAACACAAAATGTCTTTCTGTCACAGCAACATGGTTGCTCCTGGGATTTGGGGCAGTTACTTAAGCCCTTAGTGGCCTCATCTCTACAGCCAGAAATTATAGACTTGATGGTCAGTCAGTTCAAATCCCAGCCCAGAGGTGACACATATTAAAACTGACTTTCTTGTCTGTTAACATTAGTAGGAAGCAACAGTGGTCACGTTTATTAACCACGTCTCGATGCTGACAAATCCAGATGTTGCTGTTAAGTAGGATTGCTGTTATTACACCCTCGTTTTCATCAGCAAAGTCACCTCCTGTGATGGCAGTCATTATTACTGACAGTGGAGGAACCAGATGGATGACTTCATAGGAAGCTTGTGAAGCCCGGGGATCATTTAGGTCTTTCTTCTTCCTCCACCTTATGCCCTGTGTGCATCGTGCATTGTGGTGCAGAGAAAGGTCAGAGGCCTTGACTGTTGTCCTCAGAGGAAATTCAAACACTGCACGTCCACATCATCTGGGTCCATAATAAGAGCACATTTGGTGTCTGGAAATCTTTGACACCCTAGGGTAGGTTTGCAATGAGAAGTATAAAAGCTGGTTCGTTTTGTGCTTTTGATATTAAATCAGCAATCCCTGAAAACAGAACTCAAGGAGCTTGGAATATGTTTAGAGTATTTGTGATTCTCTCAGGAATTCTCCGATCATTTTATTTCAATAAGAGAAAAAACTCAAACACCCACCCATGGTTTCCACAGCCAAATATACCCATGTGTAATAAAAAGGAATAAAATTGTTTGATCGATATGAAGCCCTTGCTATGTGAGATATCAAAGAACCTAAACCTGGTCTGTGACCACAGCAGGCCACAGTTTAGATGAATACAGAAACCAACACTCTGAGCAGTGTGTGGTGGCGCACACCTTTAATCCCAGCACTTGGGAGGCAGAGACAGGCAGATCTCTGTGAGTTCGAGGCCAGCCTGGTCTACAAAATGAATTCCAGGACAGTCAGGGCTACACAGAGAAACCCTGTCTTAAAAAGCGAGACAAAAACAAACAAATACCTTGTGTATACACAGCTGAGAGAAGGTGGGACAGAGACTAAGGCCAGACAAAGCCTCGGGAGAAGAAGCTGAAATTCGGTTCTGAGCAGTGGGTTGGAGGAGGGCTCCAGGCTGTCTTCTTTTTGTCTTATCCACTCCACACACTGTCTTAAAATGCTGGTTTATCTTCAGGCTCTCTCTGGCAAGCTGTAGATTAGAGAAGCCAAAATAAAATTATCTAGCTTTCTACCACACCGTGAGTCCTGCGGGTGGTAGGGTCTTTACATCCACGGGTCAAAGGCAAGAAGTCCCAGGAGTGTGGTCAGTTCCTCTGCACAAATGTCACAAGAAAAGTCACAAATGTTAGAAAATAAGTGCTACAAGTTTGCCATCTCCTAGGCGACCTCTGTGACCCCAGGAAGGAATTTCCTACTTGTGGGATTGGCTGGTTTCTCTTGTGTTGATTTCCTGAAATGAGACAGAGAATGCATTGAGCGCCTTACAGTGCTCCAATGCATGTGGCTGCCTTGATGAGAAGAAATTTCTATGATCGCTAGGAGGCAGAATGACATCCAGCAGCAATAGCTCTTTTTCAAGGGGCTGGAGAGATGGCTCCGTGGTTAAGAGCGTGTCCTGCTCTTCCACAGGATGCTCCCAGCACCCACGTCACCAGACTCACAGCCACCTGTAACTCCAGAGCCAGGGGATCTTCTCAAACACATGTGCTGATGTGCACCTCCCCCACTTACACACACATAATTTAAAATAAATAAATCTCATTTCAGTAATTCTTCAAATTCTATATTACAATAAGAAATTTTTTATTAAACATATATGTGGTAGAGGTAAGGCTAGAACATCAAGACAACTATAGCAATTAATTTTCTTAGAACTGTAGACTGTCTTTTGTTTTTCTTTTCTTTTTTTTTCTTTTTTTAGTTTTTCGAGACAGGGTTTCTCTTCTCTGTAGCTTTGGAGCCTGTCCTGGCACTAGCTCTTGTAGACCAGGCTGGCCTCGAACTCACAGAGATCCACCTGCCTCTGCCTCCCGAGTGCTGGGATTAAAGGTGTGTGCCACCACTGCCCGGCTGTAGACTGTCTTTTGAAGAAAGGACACACCATTTCTCTTTCCTCCTCCTCCTCCTCCTCCTCCTCCTCCTCCTCCTCCTCCTCCTCCTCCTCCAGACAGGCTCTCACAATGCAGCCCTGAGTGGCCTACAACTCAGTAAATTTACTAGGCTGGCCTTGAACTCACAGAGCTCTACCTGATTCTGCCTCCTGAGTTCTGGGATTAAAAGCACAACCCTGCCCACTTAGCATATTTCCTCCTAAAATAGACATGAGCTGGATTGCACACACTTGCACACACACACACACACACACACACACACGCACACACACACATTTGGGTTTCCTTGGAAATCCACTGGGACTGTGCGAGGCCACCTGTGAACATCCATGTCACAGTCCTCACTGTCTGCCCATCACAATGGACATGGTAGGGCTCAGCTGGTCTATTACTTGTTTCTCTCACCCCTGTGACGAGACCGGGTAAGCAATTTAACAGAAGGCGGCTTATTTTGACTTATGACAGCTCGAGAATATGAGAATACAGGCAGGGACAGCTTACAAGGCTGTGCAGAAGTGTGTGCAGTTGCTTATACCCAGGCAGATGAAGAAGGAGAGAAAGAGAAATAGTCGGTTATCAACTGGCTTTTTCCTTTTCCCGTTTTAGCCAATTAAGACCCTGGGGAGGGGGGAGGGTTGGTATAACCTTCTGGACTGTTCTTTTCCCCCTAGTTAATCTTCTCTGGATCCTCATAGACACACCCAAAGGTATGGCCCTCACATGCCCTAGCTAATCCCATATGTTCTTATCTAATCAAGTGAACTGTGGAGATGAACTGTCATAGCAAGGGGCCTGCTGAACACCACCCTGAAGAAAGGTTCTCACGTAAAACAGCACTCTGATGCAACACCCTACTTTCGAATCTTGGCTCAGGACCCTATGTATGCATTTAGATACTCACAGATGCTCCCCCTGGAGGTGAGTGTGTGTGTGTGTGTGTGTGTGTGTGTGTGTGTGTGGCGGGGGGTGGGGGTGGATCGGTGGATCCTATATTCTATCTCGTATGTCCTTTAGCTGCTAAACTCACAGCCTGCAGTAGCTCCAAGGTGGGT